TCCCCCCCATACACCCCCCTGCCCCATGGCCCAACCCCAGAGCTCCCCTCCTCCCACCCCATACACCCCCCATGGCCCTACACCCTGCCCCAGGGCCCCCCACCCCAAGGCCCTCCCCCCTTTGGGGCTCCCTTTGCCCCCCGCCCACGTGCCCCGCCCCGGGGGGGGCCCAGAGGCCCGGGCGGGGGGGGGGTTCGGGCCCCGCGCGCACCTTGAGCTCCGCCATGCTCGCCGGCCGCACGGGAAAGAGGCTCCGCCTCGCGCACGCCGCGGGGTCTCCCCTTCCGGCGGCCAGGGGCGGAAGTGAGCGCGGGTCGGGCGGGAAGTGAAGGCGGCTCCGGGGCCGCCATTAAGGGCGGCGCGACGCCGGACGTGACGAAGCCGGGGGAGGGGACGGAAGGGCGGAAGTGACGCAGGAGGAGGGCGCAACAGGGGGCATCACAGGGAGATCCAGACCGGAAGTGACCGCGGTAGCCGCCCAGAAGGCCGCCATGTTGGGCAACCAAACCGGAAGTGGTACCAAACCCCCAAAGGGGCGGGGCCAAATCAAGCCCCGCCCACTTCGTGTACATTCTGTCATGTAAATGAGGGGGAACCCCCCCACATGATCCCATAGAGAAGGGGTCACAGGAAATGGGACCCCAAAATGCCCCTCCCCCCGTGGGGTGAAGATGCCCCTCCCCCACTCAAGGGGCTCCTCAGTCCCGACTGCCCCCCCCACTACCCCAGCGACCCCCCCACCCTTCCCCCCACCACAGGGACTCCCCCTGCCCCCTCCCCCCTAATCCTCCCCCAACACCCCACACGCCAGCCCCACCGACCTCTTCTGCCCCCTCCCCTCCCCCCCCACATCCTCCCCCTTCCCCAATCCCCCCTGCCCCAACACCCGCACGCCAGCCCCTCGGCCACGTTGCCCCCTCCCCCCGGCTCTGCAGCCCCCAGAGCTGGGCGCAGCGTCGCCCCCAGGCCGGATCCAGAGGCCAAACCCCCTCCCTGCTCCCAAGCGGGGATCCCCCGTCAGCCCGTCGGCCCCAGCGCCGCCCGGGGAGCTCAGGTGCGGCTTGGTCCCCACCACGACCCCAAATCTCTCCCGGAGTCCCGGCTGCCCCGGAGGCCGACCCCCAGCCTGTGCGTGCGGCCGGCCGGCGTTCTCCGCTCCCGGACGGACACGCTGACACGTCGCCGTAGGAAAACGCCCCCAGCGACCCCCGTGGCTCCGTGTCCCTGCCCCAGGCTCGGCGTCCTTCCCCCCCATCCCCAGGCCGTGCGTCCGCGGGAAACGTGGACAGGGACCATGTCCTGGTTTCTTTCAGCTCCTCGATAAAGCTGGGAACTAGCGCAGGTGCAAGGGGACTGTTGTCCCCTTCCTAACACTCAGTGGGGGGTGGGGGGCGTGTTTTGGTTGCTAGCTCCCAGCACCAAAAGGAAGGGGACGGGTGGATGGGAAATCAGGACCCTGAGACTGACAGTCCCCAGGAACAGGACGGGCTAATCCGGGAGTCAGGAGGCCGGGGGGGTCCCGTCCTCCGTGTGAGCTGGAATTGCCTGGGTCAGACCGAGTGGGGCCGAGCTAAGGAGAAAGCAGGGGCCAGAGCTGGGCTGGGGAGTGGAGCTGGGCCAGCGCCAGGGGGACAAGAGAAGCAGCCCAGGGAGCTGGAGGCGGTGTGGAGCTGGAGCAGGAGCTGGAGCAGTCCGGAGCCGGGTGTGCTGAGCAGCTGGGGAGAGCGAGGGGGACCCTGGGCAGTGGGCCCAGCGCAGGGAGACGCCCCCAGCCTTGGGGCCCTGCAGGGCAGACTTGGAGGGGGATCGTAACCCCGACGGGGCGGGGGCGGCGCTGGGAAGAAGGATCCAGCCACCTGGAGCCTGAGAGCGTGTGGCCATCGCCAGAGCAAGTGTCCAACCCACAGCATCCCTGCAGCACTGTACCTGGCCCTGTGCCGTGTGAGGAACAGACTGAACTTCCCTGACATCCCAGAGATGCTGGTTGTGACGTCCCTGTGCCACAGAGGGGGTGACGGGTTTTCCTTTCACCTTCCCATCTTTTCCTGATTTCGTATGAATTGCTGTTTGTGCTCTGAACTCTGTGTAATGATCAGTAGATCAGGGCAGCATCCGGCGCGAAGAGAGTGCCCCGGAGTGGGGACACCCTCGCCCCTGTCCTAAGTGACCACGACAAGACTGGGGGTCGAGCCCCCAGGGATCCGGGGCCCTGCCTTGCCGGGGTTACGAAGACTCTGCCACACAGGAGAGTGGAAGGGGAGCCCTCGAGGTCAGGCAGGCCTCTGGGTAAAGGGAGTGGGAGCGAGGACTCAGATCCTTTCACTAGCCAATCCCACCGGGGCATGTATAAGCCAGGAAAGTTCCCCACAATAGCAGGACCATGTTAGGATATAGCTATTCAAGGCTGTCTGGCCTATACTTTAAGAATGTAGGTGTATTCTTATCACTTAGCTAGTTATAGAGGTATAAAAGAAAGAATCAAAAGCATTGACTATCTGTGTCTCTCACTGTGACAGTCATATTGAAATAAGGAAATCTATCACCTCCAGATAAAGGGAAAAGCCTAGAACATGTAAAAGGAAATTTAGTTTGATAGTTTTCTGTCTGGGTAAGAACTCACTTATCAATAGACACAGCTGGGAAACCCTTATGTCTGTATAGATGTAGTTGTGAAATCCTCACTTCTGTATTGTTTTGTATGTTTATTTGCATGGTCTCTGTCTGGTTCTGTGATTGTTTCTGTCTGCTGTATAATTAATTTGGCTGGGTGTAAACTAATGAAGGTGGATAAACATCAAATTGTTTGCACCTTCGGACTTGGGGTATTGTTGCTCTCTGTTCACGCGAGAAGGACCAGGGAAGTGTGAGAGTGAAGGAATACGCCCCCTAACAGACCATTTCCCTGCTTACAGGACCCAGGACCCCGTTGGAAACACCCCCGCCCCATGGCGCTTCCCCGGTCACAGGGACGTAGTCAGAACACTCCATTAGCCAGGTTTTAATCCGTTTCATTTTCTAGTGTTCTCGGTTTCTTTTTTTTAAATCACAATGTCGCTCGGCACCAGGTCAAACGCCACCCAGCAGCCGAGGTCTGTTACCGCCACGCTGCTGTTCCTTGTATCGACCCAACCTGCAATCACATCCAAAACACCGGGAGACTCCCGTTCCCGGGCAGCGGGAGTCAGGCCCGATCCTGGGCGTACGTCACCCCGACCTGCCGCCGCACCTCATCCAGGATGGAGGCCACCCGCTCGGAGTGAGCCAAGCTCACCAGGGGGCTTTCCTTCAGGCCTGGGGGGGTGGGGGGAGGGGTGTCAGTATGGGAGGTGCTGCGAGCTTCCCCAGAGCAGTGCCCCCAGTTGAGGACTCCAGCACTGTGAGATGCCACAAAGCACTTCCCCAGCTGGGGGCTCCGGCGCTGCGACCTTCCCCACAGCAGTGCCCCCATCCAGGTACCCAGGTGCTGCAAACTTCCCCACGGCAGTGCCCCCACTGGATACGCTGAGCGCTGCGACCTTTCCCACAGCAGTGCCCGCCCCCCCCCCATTACCTTTCAGCAGACACTGGCGCACGTGCTGGGCCTCGTAACGAAGCCCGATGCTTCTGGGGAAGTTGAGGGGCTGGGAGGGGGGGGGCGGCAAGGGGAACTCTTCATGCTGCCCATTCACCACCAGCTCAGTCGGGCTCCACATCTGGGACGGGAGCTGCCGGGGGAACAAAGAATCCAGTGGTTAGAGGAGGGCTGGGAGCCAGGACTCCTGGGTTCTGTCCCACACTGCAGAGTCCCCAGCCCTCTGTATGCCTCAGTTTCCCCCCTCAGGTACCTGGATGATGCCCTTGGTGCCGCTGATGGCGGCCTGGTTGGGCAGCCAGGTCAGCATGGAGCAGGTGATCACGGCCTGGCGCTTCCCCCGGTAGTTCAGGATAATGGACAACGTTTCATCAACGCCTGGGAAAGAGAGAGCAGGGTGGGAGCCTAGAACCAGTCCTGCCGGTGCCCCTCACTCCTGACCCGCAGCCCCCTGCTAGCCCAGCCCTGGCCTCCCCCCAGCCCTGCCAGTGCCCCTCACTCCCGACCCGCAGCCCCTGCTAGCCAGCCCTGGGCTCCTCCCAGCCCTGCCGGTGCCCCTCACTCCCCACCTGCAGCCCCTGCTAGCCCAGTCCTGGGCTCCCCCTAGCCCTGCCGGTGCCCCTGACTCCCGACCCGCAGCCCCTGCTAGCCAGCCCTGGGCTCCTCCCAGCCCTGCCGGTGCCCCTCACTCCCGACCTGCAGCCCCCGCTAGCCCAGCCCTGGGCTCCTCCCAGCCCTGCCGGTGCCCCTCACTCCCGACCCACAGCCCCTGTTACCGGTGGGTTGGAGGAAGCCCGAGGCGAGGATGGACTCCGGTCTCTCCTCCCCGAAGACCATGGTGGCGAACTGGACGCAGTAGCAGCCAATGTCCAGCAGGGCGCCGCCCCCCAGCTCCTTCTGCACCACCCGGGGGCAGCCCGAGAGGGGCGCCCCGAACTCGATCCTCACCACCTTCAGCTCCCCCAGCGCTCCCTGGGAGAGCAGGGAGTGGAGCCGCTCCGAGGCTGGGAAGAATCGGGTCCAGTAGGCCTGGCGGGACACACACACACACATACACACACAGGGGAGTGGGTCCTGGGGGCGCCGTGCCGCGGAGGGCCGGGCAGGGGCCCAGATGGGCGGCCATGTCCAGAGACTCCCCCATTCGCCCGCTCCCTCCCTCTCACACTCACTCCCGCCCCTCAGCTCACTCGTGCCGAGTAAACCGCTAACGGTCTAAACCGATTTGTACTCGGGCACGGCCAGAAGGTGGCCGAGCCGGGGGGAGACGGGTCCTCTTGCAAACCGGAAGCTCCTTTGGGAGCCAGAGGCCTGGGTGCGAGCGTAGCCGCCGTGGGCCGGCGACACGTCACAGAGGGGGGCATGACGCCGCACTGCAGACGGACACCGATAACACTGCGAGGCAATATCGGAGCGGCCCGGCGTGGGGAGATCTTAGCACCGTTCAAAGCCCTGCCCGTCTTCTCAGGCTCCCAAAACTGGCTTGGCTTTGATTTACCCCCAGAAGGAGAAGAGAGAGCGTTCGGTCTGCTTCGAAAGAATCAGAGCCCGTTCAGCCCAGCCCTCGGACGAGACAGGACGCTGGCCTCTGGTAGCCAAGTGACCCTTGCTGCAAGTCTGAGCCAGCGAAAGACGTTATAAAAACAGCCAAGTAACGTAACCACGCCCGGGAAGAAAACCGGGAACCGAACCAGACAAACTGGGGAATCTGAATCTTTTCTCTACGCTTTGTTCGT